GGGGGGGGGGGGGGGGGGGGGGGCGGGGCCGGGCCGGCCCCCCCCCCCAACTAAATCCGCCCCCGATCATCTCGGTTACAGATCCGTTATGCACAGTTACTTAACTCTGTTCACACAGCCACTCAACACCTACATCAACGGATAAACGTATTACAGTGATCTCCTTCTATGTAAACAAGGCAAACATAAAGCTTATAAATACTGTACATTACATATTAATCAACTTACTCCTTCTGCTACTAAGTCAGGAGCCCTTTCTTTTAGCAGGTCACATGAGACTTGAAACATCGAATGCCTGCTCATATAACTGACGTTAGATGATTGGTCTGTAGTCTTAAACTCAGACATATATCTGCAAAAATGGCCATTTTATATTGTAAAACACTAGTTATAAGTAAAACACCTTTTTAAATCATTCTTCATGCTTTAATTTGTTTTCACCCTGTTTATGTGTCAAATTTTTTTTTACATGAAAAATATTCCATTCAATCGGCACTTTGATCAAGGCGTACCTGATTAGTGTCAAAAGGCAAGATTTAGGATTTTCAAAAGATCTAGTTGTGTAGATATCCTCTACTGCAGACACACCAGATTTCTCAGAATACTTGTAACGCTGATATAATTTCTTCCATGGTAGAAACTGCCAAAAAAAAATAAAGTTTTGCTAATATATATCTGCTAATGAATCACATAGTAAAGTATTGTATTTTTTAATTTGCAAAGCACAATTCACAAGATAATTTGCATCAACACTTAATTTTATAGTAGTTTGTGGTGCTACAGGGGGTAAGCTCCAGCCCTATGGGCCTTAGTGGCTCGTCAAGGATTTACTTTTGTAGTGATATAAATTCATAATTGATACATTTTGTAAAAGATTGTAAAATCACAATCTCATCACTAAAAAATCATTCTAGAAATGTCTCCCTACCCTTCACCCAGTCAACCTTCTTTCAAAAACATAAGATTTTAACATTTAAAACAATTAGAATGTATCAATGTTTGTGTTCTCCCTGCTCATCCTCCCCTCCTCCAATTTGCCATTTAATACCTTATGGTTTAGGATAATTCTGCTCCATCTTTTACAAACAACACAAATATTGCAACATACACTGATAGACAGGTATGAAAATATCTTTTCGAGGATTTCATCTGGTAAACAGGTTAAATATTCTACATCCTCGTTTTCTCTTGGTTCATTCGCATTGTCTACGTAGTCGCTACCACCAAGAAGACCAAAAGTGTTAGATTCATACTTTTCTATTTCCATGTTTTCAAGCATAGTAGGACTCAAGTTATCTAGAAAGGAGTCGTTTTCAAAGGCCTCTAGATTGGTATCCAGTGAACTGGTTGAACATCGCTTCTCTGCTTCCACACTTGCACGGATCATTAAGTCTTCATCTGTGGAGTCCTCTTCAAATGCAAGTAAATTAGGGTCATTTGACGCTGACGGCAATCTGATTCCCATCTCATTGTTAAACAGATTTTTACGTACAGGTTGTACACTTTCTCCACTGGTTGACGAATTGCAATTTGTCGCCTTTGTCATCTTTGAACAACCTGCAGCAGATTTTGAAACATCTTCTGATGATCTCCATGCATCATGTTGCGATTCATATTCACATTTAGAAGACAACCTACTACTGGAAAAATTTGCTTTTGAGGAACTTAGTGGACTTATGATTTTCAGTTTTGCAAGTGAAGTAAATTCCTCAGGTAATTTTCTCTTTGGACTGGACATTTCAGATGTATGCAGACTGTATTCTGAAGACGTTTCGAAGTTGTGAACATTTTGAAGTGAACTGTAAAATTGAGGGCCTCTAGATTGTGGCATGTTGGATTTGTATTGTTCACATTGCATATATCTTTGTCCCTTGAGTGATGGTTGGGGGTACAGGCCTCTGTTGACATCCTTACTACTCTTTCTTACACATTCAGGGTTCGTCAAAGGTTGCGCACCATCTTCTGTCCCAGAATGCTCAGTACATTGCTGGTAGTCCATCTGAATTTTCTTTCTCTTCTTATAGTCTTCCATTCAACATGCATACCTTACTGGACCTGAAATTTAAAAATTGGAGAGCATTAAAGCATATACTTATATCTCACTAGAAAAGCACTAAATTAAAAACCAATTAAATCAGAGGAATTGAATTGAAAAATATAATAGGATTACCTTGCCTAGACAGGAATACTCAAAAGTACAACAGCCAATGAAAGTGATAAGTTAGGATCTTATATAATCAATGAGGATTGCCTAATGTTTTACAAAAGCTCAATGTGTTTGAAATTCAGATGACACCCCCCCCCCCCCTCCGCCCTGGTAATATAATAAAATATTAGGTCTTGAAAAATGACCACTGCATACGGCCTCTTGCAGTGGCCGGTTTGTTTGATGTGTGACGGGGAATTCCCAGTCACACACAGACACGCATCACTGAATTAGTCCTAGCCTACTAATCTTCAAATTTCATTTAGAGAGTCATAGCAATTAATTCAAAATGTTATTTGAAAGGAAAGATATCATAACCTGAAAGAGCATGCCCTCTGCTGAATGTCCCAGGTCCGAAGTGCGCACTGTTGTGTTTTTTTCTGAAGTCGGATCATAGTTCAAAGGTCATAATGGCCAACAAAATTTTGAGTGAGCGGATGTCAATCAGATTCATAGTCTTGGGAAATCGTTCTTTAAAGGAATTGCAATTAATTATAGAAGAAACTGAAGATCCAAAATCACTGATCAATTCTTCAAATCCAAAATCTGGTTCATTTAGCCTCCAGACATGGACATGTAGAAGTTTTGAACCTGCTGCTGAGTAAATAAGGTGCCGAATTCGAATTACAGACGATCGGGCACACGAGACGATCGGGCCCAACTAGTGTGGACGATCGGGCCCACCCACGTAGACTTTCGGGCCCATTTTCTAAAACAGCGGGTAGACGTTCGGGCCCATTTTTCCAAAGACGATCGGGCCCATTTCCTCATGACTTCGGCCGCCGATAATTTCGGTCGGGCGAAATTTGTATGGGGCGCCATATGGGCATTATCCCAATCCCACACCCACTACTGTTTGGAGTCGTCATCTATGCCGTGGTGTGTGTCTATATTTACAGCTAATTCAAGCACAATGCTTTCGTTAATATTTTTCTTTTTTTCAGGTAAGAGGGAATGTGGATTCCAGCTATCAAAGCAATATAGTCATTGAGAGACGGTCTATTAGGCCTAAAAATAAAAATTGTTTGTTTGCCCTTCTGTTTTTTAAAATGATAAAAAGGGGCTGGTTGAAAAGAGTTTTTTAAACACATTTTTTTTACATGTAAAGAACAAAGCAGAAAAAAAGTTTTCTTGCTTTGCCACCCCTATTTTTTTTCTCAGGTTGGGGGGGAAAGGTGAGGAGGGCAAACAGACAAACAGCCTTATTATACTTAGGACCTTATATGGTAGACCTACTGTATTATTGCATGTACAGGTATATCATTTTTATTTATACTGAGTGGTAAAACTACTTGAAGGTGTAAAAGTTCAGTGAATAATTAATAAATGTAATGTTTTGTGTTGTACAATTTGATATTCAATACAGATTACGTTTATTAGGGTGGTGGTAGCCTGCACCCATGGACTAACACACAATAATGTCTAAAAGTATACATGCATTTTATTTATGATAGCAGCCTAAATGTTTATTTGTTAGACAAATATTAAATAGAATGTACGGTATTATGTAGTATAATTCAGTGTACGTTAGTGTTATCTCATTGATGTCTTATTGCGTGTTTGAAATCCTGTCTCAAGATGACACAGCTGTAGCAGAAAATCCCAAACAAGGTTGAGACATTTATATTTATGTATAGCGCCTTTCTTTGCAGATACGAAGCGTTATATTATACATGACAGAGGAGAATGCATGTATATTATTGACATCGCATGACATACAATACTTGGATTATGTGTTATACTTTCTCAATTGTTAATTTCGTATTAAAAAAAGTTATTATTTTTAATAATCGGGCAATAATCTCACAGACAGTAATATTACAGATATTAAAAGTACTATTACTGTCATAATTTTATTTGGAAAGTGAACATTTTCTTAATACAAAAATTGACCTACTTGACGATGGCGAAGTTGGCTTTGTGGGGCGAGTACCTAAACTTGCCCGATTGTCATGACGTTCGCTGTATTAGCAGTTGAATAATCATTAGGCGTTGTCTTAACACCTCCCTTTTGTATGTACCAACTATGTTTATTGGAAGTATCGTTTAGGTGTTACCCTTGCAAAAATAACTATTAACTTCGCTCCTTCCCCGTGAAGCTTAAAGTATGTTTGTTGAACATAAATTGACTGTTGCCATACAGTTGTAAATAGCGTTGATTGATATTTCCGTGACTTTAAAGGCGTTAGCTTTTAGTCGTGTCCTTTTTAAAATATTATAATTTCAAGCTTAACTCTTCTGTTGAACACAAAATTTGGAAGAAAAAAATATTTTCCGTAAGCTTATCCACAGAAACTGTCCCATTGCTGACCTTTTAAAAATAGTTTTAACATCAGCATCATTCTAAAGAATTTTTTTATTAGGCCGATAAAATGTTGTGATACCTACTAGTAGGCCTATATACAAACAATCTAATTGATGACCTTAGGCTGA